AAGGTATTATGCGTTTCCTCCTTTCTCCAGCCTGCTCAGACATGTTCTGTTCTGCCCAAGCTCTCACTCAGCTATCTGTTGTGTGCCTATGGAACGTGCTTTATGAGGCTGTAACCTATCTCAGCCAAAATTACCAAGTCCCTCATTCCAGGAGACCCATATCATGGGAGCAAAAGCAGGCTGCCTCTTCCATACCTTCAGCCCATCCTGCTCAGGCCTGCTTACTCCTCTAAAATAATCTAATCTCTGGGTTTTATCTTCCAGAAAATATCAGTTGTATGTAGTATTAAACACAGTACTTACTGTCATGGGGGCACTCCCAACAGGAAAGAGAAGCAAGCCCATAATTATCACTCCAGTCTTCTCCTGACTTCCTTGCTCAACTTCACTTACTGGGCAGTAAGTCTTCACTTGAGTGACTTCTTGACTCTTCACTCAGAGGGTTTTTGCTGCAGTTATCTTTTCTCATTTGGCAGAAATATTAGCACTAATCTGATTTCATATCAAGATGCTCAATGCAAGACAAATGAGGCATCTGTTTATCCAAAGTTCCTGAGCAGTTCCAAGCCTCTCATATGCCTGCTCTTTGGTGGCACCAGCAGAAGAGCTTCCAGCATCCAGGCACCAGGCTTCCATCTTCATACTGCAAACAAAATATTTGTTTTGTAAGACACAGCATTTGATTTTTTTAAGGTCCCTGAACATTCCACTGCTCAAAATGTGTATCTGGAACTCTGATCCCATATTCAAAGTAGTTACTGCAGCAAACCTGTGCATTGGTTATTCAGAGTATGTGAGGGACTGCCCTGCAACAGACAACCCCAAATCTCATAGTTCTGCATTTCTAAGTGAAACTAGCACTAACATGAACTTAACTCTCTTAAAGTCTAACAAAGTGCACAACAAATTGTTCTGCACTAAGGAAGGAAAAATTATGAAAATTAAATGTCAAACTGTCTTCTCAGCTACAGCAACATAAGACCTTGAGAAAGGCTCTCATTAGAGCTACTTCAGTTTTATATTGTAGAACAGAGTGAACTTGGAAACGTCTATTTTTAAATCCACTCATACTTAAATCACAGATGAAAGACTGCTGGGAGTATTTTACAAATAAGTTGTTTGGTTCAGTACTTTCAGAAGCTTTGAGAGATGCAATCAGATTGTCAAAAACTAATGAGAGACTGATGATAGTTCTCAGCTATTTTGACAACAGCCTTAAAATCTTCCATGTGAAAGTGATGAAATTCTGCTTCTAATCATAAAATTAATAATTTAATACTTGTGAACTACACAGATTTTTTGTGCAAATGAGTTCTAAGATTGCTTTGACAGTGTATCAGAAGTTAAGTGCTAAAAAAACTGACTTCAACACCGTAAAAGTGCTCAGACTTCTTCTTTTATTTGTGGTGACAGGACTTTTAAAGTAGAATGATTATAGGTTTTGCAAGGTTCCTTGTGTCATTGACAATCTAGGTACTTAACCTAAGGAAACAAACTACAACTTTGCCTAGATTCCAGATAACTGGGTGTGTAAGTTAACCTAACTCCCTTCAAATCCTGATGTCTCAGAAGCATTAGCAAAAGGTTTACCATAAAGCAAACCCAACTATTTTCAACTATTTTCGTTTTCTTAGACTGGTATAAATTAGCAAATTATTAAAATACAGGTTCAATTGTGAAATTAACACAGCTTGATGTTACAAATCAGAATCTACTTATTTGGATTATGGTGATACAGTATCTGAATACAAAATAAGCTAGTATCAGAACTGAGGATGCTCCAAAACAGAAAAAAACCCTATATAAATGCAATATCCTCTGACTGTGCTGCTCTCTCCTCTTAAGAGACTTCATCCACCTGTCTTACATGGCTGGCCCCACTCTTCCTTGACTGTCTGAGCAGCCAGCACAGCTTCAGCTTGCTCTCTTGTGGCCAACATTAGAGCTACAATTATCCTATTCCCCTCCAAGCACCTCTGTGACTGGTTCTTCTAAAGCATGACAAGTTTCCTCAGAGTACAGTCACTTACAGGTGAACCTCATAAACCACTCAGAGTTGAACCCACAATTGATTATGGTGGCTTAACATGTTCCCAAGCATCAGCTGAGAGATACAGAATTGAGTGCATGAGGATTTCCAGCCCACAGCAAAAACCAGGGAAACTTTGAGGCTGCTAAGCCTCCAAGGCAGTATCAGTCCTACCCTGTGCCTCACAGCTGGAAAATCCTCTGACACAAATATACTGTCAACATCATGAACAGAGGTCTTCAAGACTTGACAGTGTTATCACAAGGATGGCCTCACCTCTTCAGCATGGTTTTAGCAGCAGCCTTTTGGAGCTTGAGCTTGGTTATTTAAAGGTTACTGTTTTGGCCATGCATTTGCTAACAGGTCACTGCAACTTCAGAGATTTTCTGGTATCAGTAACTACTTCTGGTTTTTAGCTGTTTACATGACTTGTTGGGTAATTTCTGTTATTTTAAAAATATTTTTAAAGATGCCAGATACTGAAAGGTGAGGGCTTTAAAAGACTGAAATATTATTTGATACTTTATTAACATTGTATCGGGCATTGTTAACCTCCAGAAACAGTTTTATGCTAGTAAAAGAAAAATAGTTTAGAGCACCGGAGTTGGCACAAGTGCACAGACACAAGCAGAATGACCAGAGATGTATCACTGAATGACATTTCCTGCTTAGCTGTCAGCCAGATGAGCTCTAAGTGCCCTCCCCAGCTCTCAGGAGTAACAGTGCAGGCACATTGCAACACCAGAACTGCAGCAGCCCTGAAACAAACTTGAATGGAGAAAATACTGCTCTGCACAGGGAGTGCAAAGGTGCCAACATTTCCCTTTGCTGACTTGCAAACACAGCGGGTCTTATAGTGGGTTTGACTGTAATTTCAGGAGTGATCTTGTGACATGAATTCATTCATTTTAAAAGGAACTGTCAAAAGCCCACTCCATATCAGTAGAAGAATCATTAAAACCATTCCACATTTGCTATTATGCCTCAAAACCATTATCATCACTCTTCTGAAACAGTCAATAACACTGAGTGATCAGGTTTTGATTAATAAACATTAACAGCATTTATTACTGAACATAAAAAGGATAATCAGTACAGAAATTACACTTTGACTACTGTGTTACTTGATCATCAACCTTTGTAACACATGAACAACAAATAAAACTTGGGCAGCAGAGGGTTGGGAGTAACTCAGATTAAACATGTTACTCACTAGAACCAGTGACAAACTACAAAGCACACTGAGCAATAGCACCAAAACTGATCTATGTGACCCAGATATGTGAATTTCTTATAGAAGTCAAAGGACAAGCCCCAGAACCATTCCACCCCCTGGGTAACAACTCCCCAGCAGCTTCAGCTGCTCTGCTTTGGGACTGCTGGAATCACAGAGCACTGTGCACTGCTGAGAAAAACAGATCAGCTCCCTCACTTGTCCCTCACACAGCCCCACACCCAGCCGTGGTGAGGCAGGGCTGGAGGCACAAGTGTGTGCTCAGAGGTGGGGGGAAGAGCAGGAATGACCTTTCAGGCAAGTGTAACCTCAGTTTCTCTTTCTGTTAAAAGCAAATAAGCACAACTTTTGCAAGTTAGTATATTGACAAATATTCCTATAGCCAAATTGTCTTTCTTCATCCTTCTGCTAGGAGCCAAAATCCTTGTTCTTCCTATATGGCTTCTAAAAATTTTGATCAACATTACAGACATTCCAACCAAGCTCATGGATAAAACCAAGGTGCAATCTTGCTCACAAACTCTAAGTTACCAAAATATATAATATATATGATTATGTGAGATTAAAGAAAATAAACACCCTCTTATTACAAATATTTCAAATGGTTCATGAAAATTGAACTATATTTGCACTGCAGTCAGTACCACAAGGACCACAAGTGGGATAGAAATCTCATAAAATCCTATAACTGAGCAATCGGTAGCAGTCTGTAAGTTTGGATTACTCTTGAGTGTTTAGAATAATATAAAATGTTTAAAAAGAAAGAAAGGTATTAAAATGAGACAATGATGTATTTATTAAGACAGGTAGACATATGCATCACTGTGACATATCTATAGCAGAATGGAAGAGACAAAGAAACGTTAAGATCACCTTAGGTGGATGGTCTTAAACATCCATCTTGTATAATAATAAAATCATAGAATCCTGGAATGCTTTGGGTTGGAAAGGACTTCAAAGATTATCTCATTTCAATCCCCTGCAATGGGCAGGGACTAGACCAGGTGTCTCAGAGCCCTGTGCAACCTGGCCTTGAACACTTGCAAGGATGGAGCTGCCACAGGTTCTCTGGGCAACTGTGTGTCTCACATCCCCCGTGTAAGCAATTTCCATCCATCCAGTATCTAACCTAAATCTGCCCTCTGCCAGTTTTAGTCCATTCCCCCTTGTCCTGTCACTACATGACCCTCTAAAAAGTCCTTCTCTATCTTTCTTGTAGAAACATATGCTAATAATGAACATAATGAAACATACGATCCTAATGTCTGTAAATAGTGTAAATTCATATCTCTTCTGGAATACCTTTAAGCAAACCGCTTAAAGGGGTTTGAGAGCCCGCTGCCGACAGCAGCCCGGGGTCACACCACACCAAGCCGACACGCTGCACAAGGAGCACAGCTGCCAAGCCTCATTCCAAGCGTCTTCTCCACCTTGGGCCTATGCCGATGCCCTCCCGGACCGGCTCCCAGGAGCTCCGTGGGCACGGCACGGCGCGGCGCGGCACGGCGCGGCCGCCGCACTCCCGGCTCCGCCCGGCCGGGGGCGCGAGCTCCCTCAGCACTCGCGCCGGCCGGCCCGCGCCCCGCGCGTGCTCTGCCGCGCCTGCTGATTGGTGTCCCGTCAGGCGCGCGCTCTGCCGCGCCTGCTGATTGGTGTTACGCCAGGCGCGCGCTCTGCCGCGCCTGCTGATTGGTGTCCCGTCAGGCGCGTGCTCTGCCGCGCCTGCTGATTGGTGGCGCTGTGCGCGCGCGCGCCCCGGGGCGGCAGGCTGCGGAGGCTGCGTGGGCAGTGCGGCTGTCGGCGCGGTCGGGGCCATGTCGGGCCGCCCGGCGCGGCAGGAGGATGGGGAGAGCGCGGCGCTGCGCCACAAGGAGGAGCTGAGCCGGCGGGTGAGGGGAGGCGGCCCCGCGGGGCCCGGTGCCGGGGTCCGGGCCGAGGCGCGGGGGCTCCTGGAGCCTGCTGCCTCGGGTGCGAGCAGCGTGAGGAAGAGGAGGGAGGGTGCCGTCTGGGACCGGGGCTCCTGTGCCCGGGGTTGCTCAGGCCCCGAGAGCGGCCTGCATTTAGCGAGCCCGCGTTGCCTCGCTAATAGCTCGCTCGTCGGATTGGTATTTTGGATCTTAACTGCTCCAAATTGAGCTTGAAATGGCAAGTGAGGCGCACTGAGGGTTTTTTCACAGAATATCATGAGTTTCAAGAGACGTCTAGTGGTCGAGTCTAACTAACTCTTGCGCTGCGCAGAACACCCCAAGAATCACACCGAGGGCCTGAGCACGTTATCCAAAGGCTGTTTGAACTCTGTCATGCTGGTGCTGAGACCACTTTCCCTGGGGAGTTCAATGCCTAATCACCCTCTGGGTGAAGAATCTTTTCCTTGTATCCAGTCTAAACATCCCTGACCCTGCTCCAGGCCGTTCTCTGTGGTACTGTCACTGGTTACCAGTGAGAAGAGACCAGTGTCTTCCTCTGCACTTCCCCACCTAAGGAACTTGTAGACTGCTGTGAGCTCTCCCCTTAGTCTCCTCCAAGCTGGACAAATCAAGTATCCTCACCCGCTTCTCAAATGGCTTCATCTTTATCCTTGTTCATCATTATCTGCCCAAAATGTCTGAAGATATTTCAGCCATAGAGGCAGATGCTCCTAATTTATCTGTTCCTTCCTTCCTTGTCCCCACAGCTTTGTTCAGTATGCAATCTGCCAAGCCCTGTGGAACTTTCACTCCAAAAAAACCTCATATCAATTTACCTGTATTCCAATAGAGACTACAGGGAAGCCAGAGAAGGGGCTTTTTGTCAGGAACTGTAGTGGTAAGACAAGGAGTAATGTGTACAAATTGAAAGAGGGCAACTTTGGGTTAGATACTCGGCAGAAATTTTTTGCTGTGAGAATGGTGAGGCACTTACACATTTTGCCCCGAGAAGCTGTGGATGCCCCAACCCTGGAAGTGTTCAAGGCCAGGGTGGATAAGGCCTGGAGCAGCCAGGTCTAGTGGGATGTACCCATGGCAGGAAGCAGGTTGGGTCTAGATGATCTTTAAAGTCCTTTGCAACCCTTTAATATTATGTGATTATATTAAAATAAATTACTTCTGTGTGGCCATGTATAGACAGTGATGCTTTTAGTTGCTTGGAAGCTACAAAGCTGGGACATCACAGAGCTACAGGTTTTCACTTCTGTTGTGCCTAAGTGGCTGGTTTAGTCTGGCAGAGGATGGCTCTGCTGCTTTGCCTTGTTGGTGTTGTAGATACGAGAGATTGATGTAGCTGCTGGAAAAGTTGTAACTTTCAGTGTGCCATACAGTTTGGCTGACCTCACTCTGTGGCAGCTTGCTACTGTTGTACCAGTTCCAGGAGACACAAAGGAAGAGCAGAGAAACCCATGTTTGCTTCTAACAAAAAGCATTGTGCCCTCTGAACAGATTTTGTTTCAATTTTTGGCATTTGCAACTTCTTCTGATTACTCTTTAGCTGTGAACTCTTTAGTTCACAGCTGCCATTGTAAAAGAAAATGGGAATATCTGCCACATCTGTCAGTGCAGAACAGAGTGGTAAATCCCACTAAGGAAGTTAATATAGAAATCTAGAGCAATAAAAAGGCTCCCATTGCTCCTAATACAGTTCTAGAGTGTTTGTATTTTCATTAATTTCCTTTTGAATCTGGAGCATACCTATCATTATGAAGTGTATTCTTGATATTATGCTAATTTTTAAAAGTTATTTGATGTTGTATTAGTTGTGTACATGTTCTCTTCCGAGGGGGGGAAAATGTGCTCTCTGATTATAAATAGCTGTAGCTACTCTGGCTTCCCAGAGGCTTTTGAGGGGAGGAGAAATACCAATATATGCAACATAGCCTGTTTCTAGAGAAATTAAGTATGTAATTTTTATACTTACTTTGTCTTCATTGATTCATGTGGAGAACAGCAGCTATACATGCATGTTGCTGTCTTAAAATATCAGTAGACATGCTCACCACTGGGATTGTGATATGATGTCTTGTTTTTATCATTAAAATCAAATTCATCTTTTGCCTTTCAGATTAAAGAGCAGAAGGTTGTAGTCGATGAGCTTTCTAATTTGAAGAAGAACCGGGTAAGGATTTACAAATTTGCTTTTAACTATTTAATTTCAGCAGAGAAATTAAAACATAAAGACAAGAAGGACAACAAAATCAGAGCATGCTGTCTTTAATTTGTTGTAATCTGGATTTTAATAAACATGTGGTCTGCTGTGCTCAGAATAATTTGTCCTGCAAATTATTTGATCATGTATACTTGGGGCTTTTTTATGTTTTGAGTTATTTCATTAAAATTTTTGAGTTTATTACATGGATTCATGAGGTATTCTTACTTTTTCTATGCTTTTGTTTAAAATAGAATGTGATCCCTTGTGGATGAGGAAAAGAGAAATTCAAAATTGTCTTAGGCTGAGCATTAAATGCTTTTGATAGTACCGCATTAGAATGCTGGTGTTCACAGGGCAGAACTTACACCTTCACTTTTATACCAGGAGTGTCTCTTTGGACCCACAGCAGCTTCTGCTGCAGTGTGGTTCCAGAATCTGCTGCTTTGACTTAATACAATGTGGGTTTTGTTTTACAGAAAGTTTATAAACAGCAACCCAATAGCAACATATTCTTCCTTGCAGACCGGACAGAAATGCTGTCTCAGTGCAAAAGTAAGTTTGCAGTGTTCAAGTATCTCAAATAGTTAATGTTTAAAAGCTTATTTGTAGCTGATTTGAAAGGTGTATTAAAATGAGAAAATTGCAGCTGTGTGTCAAATACAAAGTAATAGGAGAAATGTTAATAGAGGTGATGATGGAACATTAGAAGAGTATCAATTTAGAAGTATAAGTCTAATTTTCTGGAGTGAACAATTGCTGTTTCTCTTTGCTTTGATTTGGGTTAATAGCATTGCCATTTTTATTGTCAGTTCCCTTTTCTTACTACAAATGTTGAAGTCATATTGATTATATAGGAGTTGGCCATTCTCCTATTGCACTGTGGCTTTCTTTGGAAAAATTTCTTTGTATAATTAAAGAGGAATATGCTACAGCAAACTTTTATAGCTTGTGTTAGTAATGATGGAACAAAAACATAGCATTTTGCTTAATTAGTGTTTTATGTTTATGACTTTAATTGAACAAGTGGCTGGAATTATTAGTTTCGTAGATATGCACTTAAACTTATCTATGCATAAACTTTCCTGTTTATGAAACTGATTGTTTGTGTGATTTTGTCTTACACAGATACATTAGATGAATTAAAGAAGGCACATCAGGAGCTGGAAAATTCGGAAAAGGCTAAAATCAGGAAGTAGTTGATGTGAATTCCCTGTTGCAATGTGTGGTATTTGCTGTGTTGTTACCTTGTGCAGCCAGCGTGCAATTCATGATTTTCTCAGTGAAGACATCCTCTGCCATCTAAGAAGAAGAGGACCAGACAGTAGCCAACAGTTGATAAAAACTGTGTCTGATCTCTCCTATGAATGTCTGTTTTCAGGCCATGTACTTCACTTGAGGGGACTGGTGACTCCTCAGCCTCTGGAAGATGCCAGTAACAATGTTTTTCTTTGGAACGGAGAAATTTTTAGTGGAGTGCATGTAGGAAATCTAGAGAATGACACTGAAGTAATGTTCCATCATCTGGCTTCATGCAGCAGTGAAATGGACATTCTGTCACTCTTCTCATCGCTTCAGGGTCCCTGGTCTTTTATTTATTATGAAGCACCCAGACACAGTTTATGGTTTGGCAGAGATTACTTTGGTCGTCGTAGTCTGCTTTGGCAATTCAGTAATGAAGTTGACAATGCTTTCTGTCTCACATCTGTAAGTGGTTATTCTGAATCAGGCAAACAATGGCAGGAAGTCCCAGCATCTGGAATTTTCAAAATCGATCTCAAAGCTTGTGCAGCAACTAAATCTTTGTCTTTAACGTTGTTTCCATGGAAGTACAGCTGCAAAGAGAAAGCAGTAGAAGGAACATGCATTAATGTTCTTGACCAAGTGTCAAAAGACTTACCAAACCACATACATCTCGTGGTAAATGAATCAAAGCCGTGTCTTAGAGCACCAGTTATCCCCTTAAATAAAACAGTTTCTAAAGCTTCAGGTGCATGTCCAGGCTCTAATTTTAGCAACATTAAGTGTGTGGTTTCTGTAGAAGCCCTTCAAGAATTTCTTGCAGAGGAACATAAGAAAAAGTTAGCCTGTCAATTTATTGATGTTTTAAATGAAGCAGTCAAGAGACGAGTCCTGTGTCTCTTTAGAGATCCAGATCAGATAACAAGAGAAGTTCCAAGCACATCTCGTAAGAAAGCACATATTGCAGTGCTCTTTTCTGGTGGCATTGATTCTATGGTTATTGCAGCCCTGGCTGATAAACATGTTCCTTTGGAAGAGCCAATTGATCTTCTTAATGTAGCTTTCATGATGAAAGAGCAAGCTAGGCACAGGGGTACCACTAAAAGATGTACCAGCCGTGAAGTACAGCTTGATTTGCTTTGTCCTCAAGAAAGTTGTCAAGATCTTGATGCTGACACTGGTACTCATTTATCTTGCTTTGATGTTCCTGACAGAATCACTGGTAGGGCAGGACTGAAGGAATTAGAAGCCATTAACCCTTCAAGAACCTGGAACTTTGTGGAAATTAACGTTACACTAGGGGAATTGAAAAAAATGAGAAAACAGCATATTAATTACTTAATCTATCCACTGGATACAGTCTTGGATGACAGTATTGGCTGTGCAATTTGGTTTGCTTCCAGAGGAGAGGGTTTCATTAGTAACCAAGGAGAACTGAAACAATATAAAAGTCCTGCAAAGGTACTATTTTGTTTTGTTTTTGCCTTGTTTTGACTTCTGAATGTAAAAACAGTTTTATTGATTCAGAAATCAGCTGCAACCTTTGCAACCTTCAGAAGCCTTTCATAAGGCTTCTGAAATTCAGTGTTGGAATGTAAAATATTCTACAATTATAGTGTTTGTGTAGTTCTAGAGTTAAAAATCGCATTCAGTTCTTTTGTCATGTAATGTGCATGGCTTTTCAGTGAACTAGGATATGCAATAATAAGTGCAGAAAAAAAATAACCACTATCTATAATTTTTGATTCCTCACTTTTTTTCTGATGGTTTGTGTCGGGAAGAAGGAACTGTTTCATTTCAGCTGTTGAAGGCACAGTAATGGGCCAGATGTAATAGTGAATAGTGTTTTTTCTCTTGATAAAACATTTTACTGTACTTACTGAGTACTGTAAGCCATTTTTAGTTTGTGTAATGTAGTTGTTACTAACCCAATAGCTGGTAAATGAATAGTACTGTGGGTGTACATTCAGGTAACTACAACATATGACATACTCTTTGGCAATAATTTTTAAAGGCTTGTGCTTAACAAATACTGTTTATTATCACAGAAATGAAGACATTCTTCAAATATACTAGTGTATTTGTGATACATATGGCATTATTTTTATGTTTTTTCCTTGCTCCACTAGCAGTATTTTTGTGTACTTTAAGGTCTGATCATTAACCTAATTCAAGTTACCATTGACTTTACTGGGAATTCTTTCAGGCTTTGTAAATGTGTAAGGTACAGCCCATTCTGATAGGTAGTATCTTTAGAAGATGTGTATTAAAATTTTTCTCCTTAAGACGTAGTTAAATATTTCAAGTCTGTTACATATTAACTTGCACAGATACCAATGTTTCTTATATTCTGTTTCCTCAGGTTGTGCTTACGGGAATTGGAGCAGATGAGCAGCTTGCTGGCTATTCTCGACATCGTGTTTGCTTCAGAAAAGATGGCTTAGAGGGTCTTAATAAAGAACTTGAAATGGAGTTAGGTCGCATTTCTTCTCGAAATCTTGGTAGAGATGACAGGATCATCAGTGATCATGGAAAAGAAGCCAGGTATTACTGTTTTAACATGGAACAAAGCTGGTTTTGCTGGTTAGATGCAATTTTTAACACCCCTAACAAAATCTTAATTGAAACTTCTGTGTGTTTTATTGTCTCTAGTTCAGCTGCAGTTTTGTTAATGTGTACTGCATTGTGCATTCTTTTGCTTTTAAAAAAGCAGTCTAGTATATTGTGCAAGAGTTTACTTAAGGAAATTTAGCAATATGATTTCCATCTAGAAGTTTTAAGAAGTAGTAGCAGATGTTGAAATAGGCAAGTTCTAGCTGGTTTTATCATTTTAAGCTAAACAGTCTTTTGCACAACTTTGAAGTGTTCTGGTGTGGACCTTTGGAGGTCCTATCATTCTCTGGAGAATGATAGTGTAACAAGAGCTGTGTATTCCTATCCATGCAGTAAAGGCATAGTCAATATCTTCCACATTTCCTGGCTGTTAAGTCTGAAGAATCATTTTATGTGTGTCTACTTCTTCCATGCTACCATCAACTTGAAAAAAATTCCTTAGGTGTTGTCCAGGAGCAGAAGCCACTGAAGTACATGTAAGGTTTTCTCATGTCATCTTTGTGCCACTGTTCTTCCAAATCTGTTCTTAGTTGCACATTTTCAGTTCACCACAAGAACAGTGGCAGTGGTGGATATGCAGTGCTCTTAACCATGCACATGATTAGATTGAATGCCTGAAATGATATCAGGATTTGTTGTGTAAATATTAAGTTACAGTGTAGTTTCACACAGTCTTTGCATGTGGGAAAGGGAAAAACCAAGATAATTCCTATGGAATTTTTAAAGGGTCTTTCCCCACATAAATCTCTCTTCCAGGTTTCCTTTTCTTGATGAAGATGTTGTCTCATTCCTCAATTCTCTGCTTGTCTCAGAAAAAGCTGATTTGACTTTACCTCGAGGAATTGGTGAGAAACTGATTCTGCGCCTTGCAGCCAAGGAGCTGGGCCTGACAGCCTCAACTGTTTTGCCAAAAAGGGCAGTACAGTTTGGATCTCGGATTGCAAAACTAGAGAGCAACAGGGAAAAAGCATCTGACACATGCAGCAGGCTGAAGTTACTTTCAGTAGATGAATTATAGAGCTGTATCTGGAGATGGTGCATTTATTCTATATGTGAAGTCAGTAAATCAAGTTTTCTTAGAATGTTTAGTCTGGTTTTTTTTACACACTTGGGCATAATTATTAATAATCAGAGTTGTACATGTACAAGGAACTCACTATGAATTCCTGTGCTTTTAAGTTTTTTAATACTGAGAATGCTTATTTTGGAATAGTAACTGGGATTACTTTGGTGATAGCAACACATCATTTGTTTCTCTGACAGATGGTTTTCAACACTTGTAAGCCAAGTATTGTCCCTAAATATAACAGCATTGAAACAGTTTTCATTGAACTATTTATAGTTGCATTTATTTTATTAAGCTACTTTTTAAGATGCCAACCATCGTATCTCTTTTAATTTTGGCACCTTGATGGAATCTTCTTCAACTCTTTTTGAAATATCAATTCCCAGGGGAGCTCTAGAAAACAAAATTATATATTTGTTAAAAATTAATATTGTCATTGCCATATCACACAGATGTACAGCTTCACAGACGTTTTATATAATTAGCACTAGAGTCTAAGTATTTTGGTACATTCCCTGCACTTCTAAGACTGTTACCATTAAAATAGCCTATCTAAAGCTGTACCTGGAAACATCTTTACAAGGAGGAAATGTTTGCAATTGCAGCCATTCCAAACTCTAGAAACACAGTTGTGATTTCAAAGCCATCTTCTGGTGCTGTTTTATTTAGATTCTGATTTTAGTTGATAATTCATTTAATGTCTTGCTGATGAATGCCAAACACTAGAGCTTCACAGGTATCTCCTGTGATAATCTTATATAATGCATTGTCTACAGCAAGTAAAACTTAAGTCTTTTATTCACTGAAATATATACAAATTATTTTTTAATTACAGTTGATAAATTTTCATGGGAAAACTATAATACATTTTTTTTGTATTGAGACCATCCAAGTCTATTTTTCTGAAAATGGAAAGGGATAAAAATTGAAAAAAAATATAAAGTTTAAGACCAGCAGGTACTTTTAAGATATCCACATTTTGTTTGGCCTTAAGCCTAACATCTACACAATCATAGTAGGAAAACACATAGAACTGTTACGATGTATGATATATTGAGTTTCTGAGCCAAAATGAACATAAATGCCAGCCACAATAATTTCTATTTAAAACTGCCTTGAAAAGTAACTTTTAAAATTTATGTGTGCTGCAGAGAAACTCCTCAGCTGCTTTTTATCATGTCTCTTTTTCATGTGACTCTTCCCCTTTGGCTGCTCCATGAGCAGTGAGGACAGAGGCTGGGAGTGACAGGTCACTTACCTTGGCTCGTAGCGGATGCCAGCAGTACTGTGTAGGACCCCCAGCCCTGCACGTAACCTTTCAATGCCATTCCTGAGCAACAAAGCAATTACATAAAAACGTTTGTCACAACTCTGCATACAAGCACATCGTTCAGTCAGCACAAAGAGAACTCCTTGATGCTCATGTCAACTTGGCATGTGCTCCTGTAATGTTGTTTAAAGAGAAACAACTCTTACCATGCAATCATAACACCATTATCAGTGCAGAGTCTTGGAGGAGGACACAGTAAAGCAAAATCATTTGCATCTGCCAGATTCTGTAGAACTTTTCGGATATACTGATTACTTGCAACTCCTCCTGATACAACCTTACAGCATTTCAAAAAGAAAAAAGGCATTAATTCAGAAGTACTTATGGGTCATACACAACCACCATCATGTTTAGAAAACAGTTATCAGTTGAAGTTCTAAAGACAGCAATAAATGCTACATTTACTATTAAAACATACCAGGAAAGACTATGCTAAGTGAGCTTATTGTGAAAAAAGACATTCCTGAAGCATGTCAGTCTAATTGGAAGGTGTCCCTGCTCATGGCAGGAGGGCTGGAACTGGATGATCTTTAGGGTCCTTTCCAAGCTAAAACAGTCTATGGTTCTACTGTAACTAGAACAGCCATCAAGTATTGGGGAGCACAAGGTCAAGTTGTTACGAGAGGTTAGACTAGATGGTAAGAAAATTTCTACTTTAAAACCCAGCTAAACATTTATATGACTGTTATTTCAATATTGTTGGTATTTTAACAATATAATACATAGTGAGATCTTCCTTATATGTCAAAAGTGGAAAATACAAGGCATCTGCATCTTCAGATGATGTTATAGAGTCAGATATAAAAAGAAAAAAAAAAGTATACCCACCAAAGTGGCATTTTTTGATGGTAATATGCTGTTTTTGATGCAGAAGAGCATGGCTCGATACGTCCTCTGGATAATGTGAGCAGCCACTGCGTGCTGTACAGCAGCAGCAACATCCTTAACACAGGACAGGATCTCGCCTTCCTGAATACCTATAAAAGTATATCATCAAAGGGGTTTCCTGAGTGTAGGTCATCAAAAGCTCAGTTAGTATCTGACTGCCCAAAAATACCTTCTTCTTTTTCTTTCTGTACAATGGCATTATTGACAAGGTTTTGAAGTCCGGAGAAAGAGAAGTCGCAGTTCCGATACTGCTGCATGGGCAGTCGGAAGGTGAGCAGTTCCTGGTTCCCAGTCTGAGCCAAGTGCTCTATGGCCTTTCCCCCAGCCATGCTGTGGCACTCTGGGTGCTTTCTTAGAGACAGTCTTCGTGCCACCTAAGGAGACGACAAACAACAATCAGTTC